TAGACTTAGAACAAATAAAAGGGTGTACTTTTTCACCCAAAGAGTAATTAACACATGGAATTCACTGCCTCAGGAAGTGGCAGCAGCTACAAGCTTCAAGAGGGGATTGGATAAACATATGGAGCAGAGATGAGTAGCTGTTATTCACAACATATAGATGGAACACTATGTCTGGGGCAGTAATGCTTTGTATTCTTAATGCTTGGGGGGCAACAGTGGGAGGGTTTCTGGAGTTCTGGCCCTGCTGGTGGACCTCCTGATGGCACCTGGGTTTTGGCCACTGTGTGACAGTGTTGGACTGGCCTGATCCAACATTGTTTCTCCTATGTTCTAATGTTTTATCATTTCTATAGAATTAAAACAATAATAAAGATTGATTTCTATCATAATATATATTTATTTTTTTGCTTGCCCTACTTCTACACTTAGAGCTCACTGCAACATTTTCTCATTGCAAAACATAAAGATAAATTCTATGGAGCATAGAAAACAGATAAAGCCAATTGTGTAGGTATGAAGCCCTACACAATAAACCAGAAAAAAATAAAATGTGGAAGTAGTTAAAGTTATGACAAAAATAATTTTCAATGTTGATATTATTATTGTGGGAGGGGCCCACAAAGGCAGTAGTGCCGTGGGCCCACAAAAGTCTCAATGCAGCCTTGCTGTTCTGCTGACTTTTGTATACTCCTCTTCTAGGTTTCATGTCCCAGCAGGTGTTCTGGTTTACTCAGACCCAGACTAGATATTACGTGTAACCTGTGACTACCATGGGGGCTTGCATTCAGGCAACAGCTGTAGGTTCTCATTTGTGCCACCCCATGGGAGCTCAGTTTGGATTGGGACTGTGATGGGGAGGAGGAGGGACTTTAGCCGCCTTCCCTGTGCTGTTTTCTCAATCTGACATGGCCTGGCGGGGGGGTGGGGAGGGCGGAGCTATAAACTTTATTGTGTATATCAATAGTCAGAAGGGCATGACAATTTAAAAAATGTAATGCAATGAAATCAAAGTTACATAAATCCAGAAATGCAATGAAGAGCAATTAAACCATTCCTAGTGGAAACATATTAACTAGATGTGTTCACCCAAATTAGTCCAAGTGGGGACCCCCCAAAAATTATTTATTTAAAGTAAAAGATTGGGTAAGTCAAGTGAGACTGGGAAGAAATGGGAGAGAGATAGTGTTCCATGAAAGTGAAAAAGAGGGTGGTGGAGAATAAACAAGGGAGGATATGGGGGAACCTGTGTGGGAGAAATGATGATTGGGGCAAGGGAGAGAGAATGGGGTGGTGGTAGAGAGTGTAGATGATTAACAGGAAGAGCGAGAAAGGGACAGAGTTGGAGACAGAGTGGATGAATGAGAGGAGAGAGAAATTCAGAGGTTGCCTGATCTTGAAGTATGAGTGTCCTCAAGGGTCACAGTGGTGAACTCGCTGGCTTTCTCTGGCATAGTATGTGTTATTCTGGACATTCTCTGAAAGGAGTGGAATGTCAGGTTGTTCATTTTAGTTTGAGTATGGGGAGATTTTATGGAGTCAGGAGACATGATCTTGATGAAGAAGTTTGACAGTTTCTCATGGGGTCTGACTTTCTGATCGTGAGACAGCATTTTATTGCACTTAATTCCTATTATGATTCACTGAATCAAGATGGAGTCTGCCTATACCTTTGGTTTCATAGGTTCCAGGAGTGCAGGGCTCTAATACATTGAAATAGCATTTTGTGCAACACATAAAGGAACATACACGATTGGCTACAGGGTGATATATCTAAAATGAAGGCATTTGGAGGGCTGAATGAATAAATACTGAAAGGCTGTTCTCTGAGCACCCAAAACAGGTTATTCTACTGCCAGTAAGTGCTTAAACACTGTACCGTATGCATAGTTTTGGAAATGTTTGAACTAACAAGGATTTATTGTAAAAAAAAATCATACTAAAACATAGTTATCTGCTCTGTTCCCATGATGGGTATCTGTACTTCCAATTCTAATAACCTTTATTGGCATAACAATAACGTTAAAAAGAAAACAGTACAAATCAGCCCATATGCCAACAAATAGAAACTTGTAACATTGTATATAGTAATAATAATAGGGCAAAGACATACAAGTTTGGAACAGTAATTTCGAGTATCACAGTAATTAAAACAGTTGCAGTAAGAAACGTAACTATCAGGAGAGGGATCATAGATACACCTTATCTCTCTCACTCACTCTCCACCTCCTTTCCTCTTCCTCTTCCCTCTTTTCTTTCCTCTTTTTCTTGGCCCCTAAGTACATTTGCCAGGAACTCTGTCATCTGCTCAGTAACTTCAGGGTTTTTATCCGCTAGTAAAAATTCAATACCTCTGTTGGTTGCAGCCTTAGAGAGTTGATGGAGAGGGCTAATCAAGTGTGAACGTAGCTGAGTAAACAGCAGGCAGTTTATCAGGATATGCTGAACAGAGTCAGGTTCTTTGCTAAGACCTCTGCAGAATTTTGCCTCATAGGGGATGCCCATGTATCTACCTGTGATCACAGCCGAAGGAAATATATTGAATCTGGTCAGCATAAATGCTCTGCGTTGAGAAGGGATTGTTAGGCTTTAAAAGTACTGAGCCCGTAGAGTTTTGTGGGAAAGCAAGACCTAGGAAAAGGGGGGAACAAGTCCCCCCCGTTCCAGCTTTTATTAAATGTAAGGGGTATCTGTACTTGTTATTTGTGGAAGAGTGAAACTTATGGAAGGTGTATTGTCTCATTAAGTTTTCAGCTCACATTAAAAAGTTCGTGTGTGTGTGTGTGTGTGTGTGTGTTTATTTATTTATTTTCATTATGGCATGTGGAAGGTCCCAGGTTCAATCCCAAGCATCTCCAATTCAAGGAAAGATCTCCACCTGAGACCCTGAAGAGCCTCTTCCAGTCTGAGTAGACAATACTGACTTTGTTGGATGGCTGGTCTGATTCAGTATAGGGCAGCTTAATGTATGATTTCCATCAGCCCCTTATTGTGTTTCCAAGATTCCACTAATAGCCAAAAGCAAAATTTCAGGGGGCTTGGTGGGCTACAGGAGGGAGGGTGGAAGTCACCATCCCCACTTAAGAAACTGCAGTTGTTGGATACAGGTTGTCTATTAAATTTAACCTTTCTCCTCACAAGCATGAAATGTACTGAATAGAAGGCAACTTTCTTGGCAGTTTGGACTATTTTATATTATGCAACATTTCTAAAGCATTTTGATTTTTTAAAATTATGTTTTCATTGTAAAAAAAACAAGTGAATTTTTTCAAGATTCTCAAAACGTGACAAATTCTTGAAAATCAGAGATTTTAAATATCTTTATATTCCATTGGGAAATATATCCCATTAGCTCACAGTAAAGCACTTGTTCCCTTTTGCTCCCCCTTATGGCTAGAGTGCCCTCACAGAGTATCTGTGAAGTACTTCAGATCCCAACTAAAAACCCATCAAGCCTTTCCTTAGCCCTTTACATCATTATTCACAGCTGAAATTAAAAAATAAAGTTGTGGGGGGAGTGGCCGTAAGCAACCATCTTCCAAGTCAGTGGCCATTACCCGGCGCCTGCTGTCTGCCCACTCAAAATTTGAATATTTTTACCCTTTCCAATGCAATATATATTACATATATTTTATATATCCCTTATATATAATTGAGTAAGACGCAGCGTGAGCCAAATGCGCTCCGTCAGCCTTTGGCTGGCGAGCTGCCGCTCAAGGCTGCTGCCATGCCATTGGCTGGGAGGCGGGAGGCGCACGTTGCGTCTAAATGGCCCCTCGCCGCACCTCCATTTCCCTCCCCCACTCTAGGCCCCCCCGCGCCCAGTAGAAGGCCGGCGATGGCGGCTGGGACTGCCGATCGAACGCCTCTCCCTCTCTCTCTCTCTTCCCCCTCCCCCCCACCTCCAAGCGGCCCGTTCGTTGGAGCACTTGAGGTGCTCCTCGCCAGCTCCTTCCTGCCGCCGCCGCTACAGCCCCGATTTCCGTCCGCCCCCCCAACGAGCCAGGCCTTTGGGGGAGCCCAGGGAGAGGCACGCCAGAGGCGACTAAGACACTCCGCAGCCGCCTTCCCGCCCACCCACCCAGCGCACACTCGGCGCCAGCGCCACACGAGCCACCGCCCGCCTTCCACCCTCTCCGCTGCCTCCCTGTCCACCCGCCTGCTACAAACTCAAGCCGGCACCGAGCCACCCGCTGTGCCCCTACACTCCACCCCACCCCTTGCGGCACCCCTTACCGAACACCCCTTTGCTTCTCCCGCCGTCTGCCAACCCAGGCGGCCAAGAGAACCTTGCATGCCCGTCCCCCCCCCCAATTCTCCCCCCTCCCCCTTCGTCCTTTTTCTCTCTCCCCTCCCAACTTTCTCTCTCACTCACTCTGTTTCCCCCCTCTCTTTCTTTCTCTGCCCTTCTTCCCTCCCTACTATCCTTCATCCCATTCACTCTCTCTCTCTCAATCTCCTTCTTTCTACCCTTCCTTCCTTTCATTCTTTCTCCCTTCCTTCCTTCCTACCTCCCTTCCTTCCTTTCTTTCCAAATTACTATCATTACCCCCACTCTGTCTCTGTCTCCCCCCTTTTTTTCTCTCTCCCTCTCTCTCCCTCTGTCTCTCTGTCTCTCTACCTCCTCTTCTCCATTCCTCTCTTCCACCCGCCCTTCCTTCCTATCTAGGGCCCGTCGTCTACCGCCACGACGGGCTTTGCTTACTAGTGTGTGTGTGTGTGTGTATATATATATGTGAATGCACAATAAAAGCTTCTCTTTTAGTGTTTTTAATATTATGGCCTACATTAATTTCCTTTTTAAAACAAACACAACTTTTAAAATCACTGAACATTGGTTATGGAGCAAATGTTTATCTGGTTTTTTTGCAAATAAATCCTAGAGACACAGATTAACAGTGATTTCTGAAATTGCAAATATACATTTCCTATATTTAGTGCTTTTAGTGGAGAGAGAAAAAGTTATCCAAGGAAGTAAATAAAATTTACAATCTTTCTTCTAGAGGATTATGGGACCACGACCAATGACTTTGAAGACACTACAAATAATAGTAATACAGTTACTTCTACGGGTTTTTCAAACAATAATGAAGATAGCATCACTGTAAGTATATACATAGTTTCCTGACTTGCAATCTCAGCAGACTTTCTGACTAGTGATCTAATGAGTTTGTGGCATTTTAGCTTGAAACATGACACTACATTGATGGTATTCCAGGGCTTTTAGCTAGGATTTGTATAATGTGAAGTAATTGCTTTTTTCAAAGAGCTGGTGAATTTTAGACAGAGCACAATTTGCATAGTTTTGTTCACATATTTATTATTATGTTGATGCTACTGAATTGTGACTCCCCAAGTTGCATCAACACAATTGTCATTCACAGCTTGAAAGTTTTTGGCTTCTTTTACATCACAACATTAGCTGTTCTGAAGAATTGAGATAATTATATTAGATACTGTGTTCTTATGGTTACAGTAGAGCTGATTCTTGAGTTAGACCACAGTTTCTCTATGCAAAGACCCACTAGTGGTATTTTGGTAATGACAGACATAGAGAAACCACTTCTTCCTCCTAAAGGGAAAATTAGGAGAAAGAGACTACATTATCTGCACTCGCCATCCACTACTGCAGGAGTTCCCAAACTTTTCAGCTTGCGAACACTTTTGGAATTTTGATACCGTGTGGTGGATGCGGCCACAAAATGGCTGCCACAAAATGGCTACATTAGGAGGTGGAGCAAGCAACAAAATGGCTACTGCAGCTTACCTTCAGTCACATAGTGAAGATCCTTGTGCTGTGGTGGAAGCTGCTGCCAAAGCAACATTTTAAAAAATCTGCATGGTCAATCAAAGTTCCAATGGCCAGTCAGAAGCCTTGCTGGGTAAAAGGCCCACCTGGCCCTGCACACTTTCTAAAAACACTTGATGGACACCAGGGAAGGTGTAGGCAGGCACCATGACACCCACATGCACCACGCTGGGGCCCCTGTGCTACAGTTACCCGAGTAAAAGACTTCTTATCCCTGTCTGCACTAGAGTGCTCAAGATATGAGTCATAAATTTCCAATATTCTTCTAGTTATTCTGATGTTTAAAAGCTACTTATATTTCAATATTAAATTTAATGACATTTGCTTTTCTTTTAGGTTTATGTTGTAGTGGGGACTGCAGCATTAGTGTGCACTGGCTTAGTTATTATGCTCATTATTCTCAAGTTTGGAAGACACTCCAAGTTTGGAATGAAAGGTAAGAAAGGGATACATTATTCTGGGTTATGCTGCTGATCACAAATGTACTTCAGTACCCTGTATCAAATACATGTTGGGATAGGCAAGCAGAGCTTTCTAAGCCAGAGCATGAGAGATTCATTGGAACCAGTGTGAATTCACGGGTAATGTGCCTTAGACCCATTGAACTCAGTAAACTAAATCTGTTTTTATCAATAAATCCCAGCAAAGTAAAAGACCCTTGATTTTCATCTAATTTAAGTAGTCTGTGATGCAAGAGGTTTTGTAATATTATGACTAGTTTTTTAGCATTATAATCCAAGACACCATACAGGTAATTAAACTATTTTGTGCTGGTGACCTGAAGTGAAATTTCAGATCTGGAACTGACGTATTTAGTTTTAACATTTATTGTGATGACAATCAGCGTTTTCTGTCTGACTGAATTTAGAGACCTTAGGGTGCTTGGACAACCATTGCCCTAACTCATAGGTTTGCAACTGTTTCCACATACCTGTCTGCATAGTCCTGCCTGTCTGATGGCCGTGGTGGAGTGTGATCAGGACATTCTGGGATTTTATATATATGTATATATATTATTAGAAGTTCCTAAGTTTCGGTCACATTAGCAATAAATGAAACTCAGAGTGGCTCAGTTTTCAGTTCCTTCCACTGGTGTTGTGTGTGTGTTTTTTTAACAGTCTTTTAGTTTGGAGACAAAAATATGGCCTATAGTTAGCAGGACTTCTGGGGATGGGGCAAAGCTTGATTTCAAACAAACTGGGTTCATCAGGGGTAAGTGGAAGCTTATGCACCTACCTCAAATGCCCTCCGTAAGCCCTCTTACTTTTTCTCATGTAAGAGAGTGATAGCCATTTACTCCTACAGAAGAAAGTAAAGTGCTGCATATGGAGACATTGCTGGAGTAGGAAGACAAATTGCAAGGAGGGTGCAATGTGTCTTTGTGTTCAGAGTACACAAAGAGTTTTTTCACTCCTTTCAGTGTACCTCTTTCTGCCAACAACATCCCTCCGTCATCATTGATAGTCTGTATATTAAAAAGCCAGTCCCAACATTCAGTCATGCTCTGACCAAGAAACATAGCAGGGCACTATGTTAGGAGTAAATCTTATCTATTAATTCTAATGGCAGACCCATCCTCCATCAACAGGGATCCCATGATATGGGAAGAAATTCCCATCCTTCTTACCCAGAAAGCTTCTCAGTTCGCAGGAAGTGAAACGTGTGCCCAGTATCCCTATCAAGTCCAGGAGCTGTTCTTGAGATTCAAAGAAGGAAAGGGAACAATGCCCAGTTTCTGCATTGAAGGGTATAGGGAAATATTCCTTACCTCGTCTGGGTCTTGAAGCAAATCTGTACATACCCCCTCCCTCCACTTATAGATGGAGTAGATAGGAGAAATAAAGGAAACAGGATGGGGAAAGCCAGGAATTCTCTATCCCCACTCAGCCCATCCAGACGTGAAGGGTCTTCAATATTTGATGAGCATGTTCAGTGGAGGATAATATCCATTTCTTCTTTCACATACTAAAGGAAAGCTGATTTTGCCAGGCTGATCAGAATTACATGTGAAATGTGTAAGTATGCGGCGGGACCTCAGTATAAGAAGCAAACTTTTTGTTGAAAAAAATTTGATGGAGGGAGATGTGAAAAATCAAAATGTTTGCTTGATAGCCACAAAACATTTATTTGGATATATTTTGGTATGAAGTATTTGTTTGTTGTTAAATCAGTCTAAAAACAATACTGTACAAGCTAAAAAGACCAATCCCATACTCACAACTTAATAACAAGGATATTGAAAGTAGTTCACATAACAGAGCAGCATTTCAAAACACATTCAAAAGCGTGATAGGAGCATACTAACAGTGCCTGAAGAGGCAATAAAATAAATCTGTGGCTGCGATCATATGCACAATTAGACCTGCCATAGGTGCGAATGCCAGGTGGATTTGAGGGTACGATCAGACAACAACATCTGGGTAGCACCCCGTAGCTGTCGGCAACCCATTCTGCTCCACCGCAGAAGTGGAGTTAAAAGACACCGGGGAAAATCCTGTAGAAAACGGGTTGCAATGGGCCATGGACGGACTTTCCCCTGTCTGATCGCTCCAGCACACTCTCATGGTTTTGGGATGGTCTGATCAGTCCATCCTGACTCCATGCCATTGTTTTTTCCTCCTTTCTCAGTATGCGCATAATCGCAAACTCCATAGGGAGCCCTCAGTGCGGAGATGTGATTAGTTGATTCCTCATTTAAGTGCATCGGAAACAAACGGCAATCCCCCCCCCGACTAACCCACAGTTGCATCTGATCACACAGTGGCGGGCTCTGCCCACAGCTTCCAAGGACTGTGTGACTATGCAACTGCGAGTCAAATTCCTCCCGACGGAATAGCCTTGCTTCCCCCCCATTTTTTCTGGCGCGTGTGACTGCAACCACTATCAACCTAATTATTAAAAGCTGTTTAAAACATTAGTAATGGAGGGGAAAAACACTATACATGATTAAACCACAAAGTAAAAATCAAAACAAGCGAAGAATGCAGTCACACACACTAAATGATCCTCTTTCAATCCACCAAACACAGTAAAATCCAGTTGGAAAGTGGATTGAAAGTGGATTGAAAGTGGATTATTTAGTGTGTGTGAGCACACATTTTTTTTCCTGCTGAGAGATCAGGAGAAAGACGTTTCACAACCTACGTGCCACAGCTGAAAAGCCCCCTTTTCAGCCTACCATCACTTCACATTAGTTTCTTTTCAGTTGGTCACAATCAGAGATATTGGGACCCAAAATTGTGTGAGAAAAAGGGCGGGGGAGAGTAATCTTGATTTTGTTTCATTGCTCTTGCCTCAATTATGTTTTGTAGAAATGGATAGAGCTAAGGGTTTTCTTTTTAATTCCATAGTACAGTAAACACTTTCAAAAATTTCCATTCCCTACCATTTTTAGCTATGTAAAAAGATCAAGGGAAACAAGATCTTTTTCTCTATATGAGGTGAGGCAGGTGGTGGTGATGGAATTAATCTGGTAGTGAAAAGAGCATTAGAATTGTGGTTTAGACCTAGTTTCCACTTTTCTGGCTGGGACCTGGGACAGCCAGCTTAGAAACCCTGCATTGTCAACCTTACCAGGTAACTTTGAGCCTGACACATGATCTCTCGTTCCAACCTACTTTACAAGGTTGTTTTGTTGAGGATATGGTGGAGGAGGATAGAGCAATGTGACAAACTGCTTTGTATCCAGTTTAGGGATAAAATATATGAATTATATAAAGATAAATATACATTATATCTACACTTAAAAACTAAATGTAGTTTCCTAAGTGTCCATTCTTCAGTATTTTAGTTCAATATTGATATTTTAAAAGAAAAAATAATGTTTTAATATTTGCAGTACATTTTGAAGATACTTATAAGACATCATGAAAATAGATGATATTGCATACTTATGCTTTTGATAAAACATGCCACATACAATGTAGCTGTGCATTTTATCAGTCTGAACAATGTACAATGTTTATTAGTCTGAACAATTTTATAGGCCTATAATAAAAAGCAGATCATGTTTTACTCAACAGTGCTTTATTGACACATATGCAGGACTTCTTAATGGAGTCAGTCTTTCAGTTTTCCTCCAGTCTTACAACACTGTAGGTTTTTTATTTACAAACTATATTATTATATAATTATTTAGGGCCATATTACTTGCTCTTATGTAGCCTTTCTAATTTTGCTAGGGTATGACGATAATAATAATGATCAATGTTATTGTAAAACACTTTAATTGTTTAAAAGTAGTATTATTGACATGTAAAGCCATATTATTTATCATTATTAAGAAAGCTGAAGATTGAATTAGGAATGAGTAATAGCAACATGCATCCAACCATCTGTGGATTTCATGGGATGGAACCTTCCCATTTCCTCTTCCTTCTGCCATACCTTGAGTCCCCTGAAATTTTGCTCCTTTGGGAGTCACTGGAATCTTAAGAACAGCATAAAGGGTAAAGTGGGTGTCATTGGGTGGGGGGGATTGGCAGAAATCATTGTCAACTCTTCTGAAAAATAGAAATGTCATTCTATTATAGGAACTGTATGGTTAGATATATGCCATTAATAGTACAATAACATTCCCAGAACAAGTAGTTAATATGCAATATGAAGGAAAATGGGTAATACTGCACAATTAGTCAAGAAACACTGTAATTGTTAAATTAAATATAGCAGCCATGATTAGGATTGGAAGAATAATGGCTGAAGAATTAAATAAATATTCTTTTCATAAATGTTCATTAAACAGTTTTATAAAAATGTTTGGGCCATTGCTCCCTTCCTTTTCTCCAAACTTATCCAGTGATGATGGCAAAAGAGAGAGCTCCTTTGATTAGGATGGCTGATATCAAGAATATAACATAAGAGTCCTGCTGGGTCTGACTAGTGGTCCATCTAGTTCAGCTTCCTGTTTCACACAGTAGCCAATCAGTTACTCTGGCAGGCAACAACAGGGAATAGAGTTTGAGGCTTTTCCCTGATGTTGCCTCCTGGCACAGGTTTACTGCCTCTGAATGCGGAGATTTCCTTTATTTATTATTTTATTTATTAATTAATTAATTTATTTTATTATTTTCACCTTACCAGGGAACTTTAGTTACCATGGCCAATGACAGACCTTTCCTCCATGAATCTATCTAGTCCCTCTTTAAAGCAGCCTGTGCCTGTGGCCATCACTACATGCTCTGTCAGCAAATTCCACATTTTAATAATTAAGTGACTAAAGTAGTATTTCCTCTTGTTTGTCCTGAATCTACTGCCCATCAACTTCATTGGATACTCTTGAGTTCTAATATTTTGGGAGAGGGGGAAAAAGTCCTTTCTCTGCCTCATGTATAATTTTATAAACCTCTATCATATTGGCCTCTTAGTAATCTCTTTCCTAAACTGAAAAGTCCCAGACTCTTCAGTCTTTCCTCCTAGGAAAAGTACTACAACCCT